AAGCTCCATAAAACTGGACGACATGTCTTATCCACCTTTGTGTCTTTGGCAACTGATACATATTTACAAATTGTGATCCAGAGAAAAAACAGTAATGGCATTAGAGCTCACCAGATGTCTTCTAGAACAGATAATCAGGGAGCCTGCCCATTAACTCAGTGGTTTAAGTGCCTGCTTCAGCAAAGCAGTCAGGCTCAGAATTCTGTGGCTTGATCCCCAAATCCTCATGCCTTATACCAAACTTGCCCTTAAGGCATCCTGAGCAGGCAAAAGAAAAAAAATCCTTTAAAATAGATAATCAGGCTAACCAAAATATTCCCTTTGGACAATCCTTCCTCCAAGTGGTGCCCATGGGTCTCAGCTATGTTCTCCAAGTAAGGGCAGGTAGTTGGGGTAGACCATGAGCACAAGGGACCCATTTTTTCCCTCAGCGAGGAAAATTCATATGGGGCACCACCAGCTCTACCGAGAAGCTTCCCTTTCTGTTACGTGGCTGTGCCCAGTTGTCTATGATTAGGGCAGAAGGGACATAAGCCTTTGAGGAAAAGTCTTGTTTACATTTGCTCCATCAAACCAGAAGGATTGACCATTGGAAGGTATGTAGAGAAAAGTTCTTTGTATGTTCAAAGAGCTGTTAGGAAGTTGTCTGAACAAGTAGAAATTCAAATTAGTTTTGACCATTATATGTAAATTCTTCTGTCTCCCATGGGGAGAGGACAGGTTCAAGTTAGGGGTACGCTGCTGGCTGAGATCAGCCCCAGAAGCAAGCTTGTGCATGTCTCTTATCAGAGGGATTATTTTTATGCTGTTCTGTTTTTATGCAGTAAATAATGAATACAAAAGATGCAAAAATAATACCATAATGGTATTGAAAAGTACAAATATTATGAACAAAAAATGTGAGCTAGACTCACATGCATACAGACTTTTACATGTACAAAGGGGGCTGAGGAGATGGCTCAGTAGAATAAGTGCTTCCTTGGCAAGCACAAGGGCCTGAGTTCAATCCCCAGTTCCACACACACACACACACACACACACACACACACACACAAAACATGTACAAAAGCATCCCTTGTCATCTTACTGATCTGAAGGATTTTTGTTTGTTTGGTTTTTGGGGTTTTTTTTGGCCATCAGGCACTTAAACAACTGAGCTAATAGGCAGGCCCCCAATCTTACTGATCTGAAGACTGGAATCATTGCAAAACAAGCTAAGAATAAAAGAGAAGGAAGACTTCATGATCTTCAACTTTATATACTTTTGGGTGAAGGTTTGCATTTGCAACATTAAAATATGTAAGGGAGTGGTGAATGAAGGCAAGAGATAGGAAAAGGAGTGTTGTGGGACTGTCCTGCTTCAAGGTTGTATATGGTTAGATTTTTGGATTTATGTGAAAACATAAAAATGATATAATTTGTTATGCCTATTTTTAAAATATATTCTAATTTTTAAATGTTTTTTCATCATATTCT